GAGCTATTTCCTTTTAGTCCTGTGCAGCTACAGCTGGTTAGATTGCTTTTGCTGCTCATTCAAGGGTGTATGGGGCCTGAACCAGGGCACCCCATTTTTGGTGCAGGGGTTTCTTAGTTGAACTTTCTCCTTTCATCACAGTTTGGGCTTCTGATTCAGCAAATATTTTTAAAAATGTTTATGTGTTCTGCCATACCATGCGTTTTTTGGGGTCTTCTTGTAGCTGTATTCAAGACTGCAGGCATCAGCCTAGGTAGTTTTTTTTTCTGAGGTTTTTGCTGCATTAACAAGCAAACTTTAGACCATGGGCTTTTCATACATGAGTGCTCTGGGAGCTATTTCCTTTTAGTCCTGTGCAGCTACAGCTGGTTAGATTGCTTTTGCTGCTCATTCAAGGGTGTATGGGGCCTGAACCAGGGCACCCCATTTTTGGTGCAGGGGTTTCTTAGTTGAACTTTCTCCTTTCATCACAGTTTGGGCTTCTGATTCAGCAAATATTTTTAAAAATGTTTATGTGTTCTGCCATACCATGCGTTTTTTGGGGTCTTCTTGTAGCTGTATTCAAGACTGCAGGCATCAGCCTAGGTAGTTTTTTTAAGCAAACTTTAGACCATGGGCTTTTCATACATGAGTGCTCTGGGGTTGCTGGTAACTGGGTTTTTACCACGTGCCAGGCAGTAATCAAAGATGTTCAACCATCATATAGCAGATTTCACACCTGGTTTTGTTCAGTTTTGAAAGCATATTCTCACTTCCACAATAAAATAAGAATTTTGGAGCCTTTTTTTCCGCAGTTAAAACTGTTCCTAGCACGTGAAAACCTCAGTGGCTTCTTATATTTTGGCTTTTATTCTGTAACAAGAACTTATTTGATGCCTGCACTGCTTTAAAATTGATTTACATTTCAACAACATGTATTTGCAAAGAGTCTTGCAATTAACAAAAAATGAGAACGACATCCTGTGTGTTTCAACCTGCACTGATTGACAGTGTTGCTGATACAGAAGTTAGAATATTTCCCAGCTGTCTTCTCAGTAGTTGTATTGCCTCTGCAAGGTTACCAGGAATAAATGCTCATTTATTTCAGCAAAGCCAGCAAATATAAGTCAAGGACATACAAGAGGCAGGATCTGTCAAATAAAAGGGGCTATTTCACTGGGTTCCCATTGTGCCTATAACTGTACCATAATAGGATGAACAGCTTATGCTAATAAAGTTAGATCATAAGAATAAGTGCCCACCTGTGCTGAATGAAACACAAATCCATCTGGATGGAGCAACAGTCAGATATGTAAAGAGTCAGCTAGTGCAACTAGCCATCAGCTTAATTACTCATTTGAATTACAAACACAACTTCACAATAATAGGTTGATTAGTGCTGAGCAAGTATCTCAGGTTACTGCACTGCATCTGTAAACCTTTCCCTCTCTTTTGTTACGTGATATGACTGAAAGCGCTGGGAAAAGATGACTTTAAACTTACCTTGGCAGTAAATTGTATGTCACAGGAGGTTAATGAAGCATCTCTCTCTAGGCTTTGCTGTAGTGGGCAGCCATACTGTGGCTCCCCGTTACACAGCGCAGCTCGCAGGGCTTAGATGAGGTCTTTGAAGACATGCATGCAATCTTCTGTTTTGTTCCCAGCTATTGAGCAAAGTTATATCTTGTTAACTGTATCTCTGTAAATATGCCTCTATATTTAAAATCAGGCAGCAGCAACCAACTCCAGCACCTGCAATCCTGTACATCTGAGGTCAGGATTCTTACAAGTTGCCAAAAATGGTCTAATGAAAAACATGACCTTCAGGACTTGCCATATATATCACTTAGGGAAATGACTTACCTTAATGGCATGACATGGGCTGGTTTGTTTTTTTAAAGAACTTCTGTTTCTTGTCTTGTCCAGAATAAAACTGGAGTATAAAGTGGTTGTGAAATCAAATAGCAATCCTGATGCATAGCTTTCAAAGGACTCAATTATACCCATTCTCTTCCTGACTGCTTTAATGAGGTCTACCTCATGGCCTTTCAGAGCTTTAAAATAAAGAAAATCCTCTGAGATGTTATAGTGAAAAATTTAAACAGCCTGCCTACTTTAAATTCAAAACGATGGAAAAAGAAGAAAGAATGTTCTTGAAAAAGATGTGCTTTTTCCAGCACAGGTTTTGAAATGTTCACATGGTCAGCCTAATTTTTCTCCTCTGTTGGAGAATTCAAATTGAAATTGCTGATTCAAAAATTTTCCACATTTGCTCAAAACTCTTTAGCTATTTTTGAAAGATAAAAGGTAGTAGTCTTTTCCTTTGTTCCTTATACTCCTTTACACACATTTTCTGTTATGGAAAGTTTTTCACTCTTACAGAAATGAGCTTGCTGCCACTAAAAATAGTTTACTTCACAAGGTCAAGCATTTACAAGTGGCCAATTATTTTCATGACAAGCACATAAGAAAGTTTTATTAAAGGCAGCAAATGACCATCTTTTGCCCACACACAGTGGGGAATATACATAAAGCATCAAACTGTCTTGCTATGTATATAAGTATGAAAAAAGCAAAATATAATTGCTTGTAGAAGTGTGGGGATTTTGTGGACTTTGTAGTGTGTATGTTTGATTGTGCAACCAGAGAAGTGAAGAGAGAAGGCGGGCTGGGGGGGGAAGCATAAGAAAAAAAGATCAGAACAGCTCTGAATATACTACTTAAATGATAGTAAGGAATCCTGTATTTTGGCTTTTAGAGCTCCACCTTCTCTTCAAATACCTCAAATTGTGTATGAAGATCCTGAAGTCAGTGGAAGGAATCGCTACAAATATTTTGCACAGTAAGGAATGATTTACTGATTTGAAACAGAGTTCAGAAGCTTGCCTTTGTGCAGTTTAAAGAGCACCTAAATATATGCTGGAGCTTTTTTTTTTTTTTTTTGGTCTTTGCTGTTGGATCTTTGATCATTGCTACAGAAAATCTAAATAGTAACCAAGTTTTAAATCACAAGGTCTTTTAAAATTAACACTGTGCCAGAATGTTCAGGTAATGAGTTACCATATAAGCAAAAGTACCAGGCATTCTGTACTTAATAGTTACTTGTAGAAAACTTTAGGCTGTAGATCCTCCTACACAGAGGAAGATGTTCACAAAGGCATTGTGGTTCTCCAGACTTCTGGAAAGGTGACTTTATAAGAAGGAAACTTTTAATTCCCAGTTTCTGGCAGGAGCAGAAAGGGAGCAAAGGGAATACTTAATTAACTTTTCATCGATGTCCTCTACTGCAGGACTGCTCTGCACCTTTCAGAATGACACTGCAGGTCAGTGATGGATTCAAGATCTGAACCAAGAGCTAGCGTACAAACACTTTCAACTTAGTCACATACACTTTTAATTACATTCACTATTACAGTCAGCAGCTAATGGCCAATATGTCCAATTAAATATATATAAAAATTTGCCAAGTTTAATAAATTTAAAATTTGTGGCTCCTTTAACAACAGCAAAAAAGGGAGAAAGATGATGTTATCTTATGCAATTTGAAATTAAGCTTCAAAGGCTAAGGGAAATTGATAGTGAACTGCAATATGCAAACTGTAAGAATGCCCAAGAAGGAATTATTAATATGTCACTGAGCTCATATCACTTTCAGGATACGTCATAAAATACTGCAAAAAAAGAGGAAACAATCAAATTAGATAAATCCAAAACAGATTACCTTGCCAGCTGATTGTAGGAATTCATTTAAGGATTTCAAGAAGTTATTAAAAAAATTCTCTCAAAAGCTGAAAATGAAAAAAACTAATTAGTGAAACATAAACAATGTTGTGAGCACAGTCAAAACAAACTTCTTTTGATTTTTGTCTTGTTTTGCAATTCCACTTTCTGCTTTGGCAGAAGAATAACACTCACTCCTACCGGTGAAATATTCTCTGTTGCTCCTTAGCTATGAAAGAATTATTTACTATTCAGGCACGATTCTTAAATATGCAAGTACAGAACCTAAGTTGTGGAAAATCAGTGTAACGCCACTGAAATTAGTGGACTACACTTTTTCCAAACCATAATGATCTTTTATGCTCATGGTTGTTGTCTTACATCTGCATTCTCTCTTTTCAGACCTCTCATCCCTTCTAGTAAGCTGCTTCCACTAAATGTTACTTATGCAATGGCAAAGTAAGTAGTGAGTTCTGGAATAATACTGTTGTAATGGGTCACATCTCACTAGAAGAAGAATTGGTAACTATTTTGCTGGTGCCCAATATTTTTTGTAATGAACCAACAGGAAAAACTTGGGAGGTAAGGAAGAGTTCGTTCACCATTGAGAATTCCTGAGGAAACAAGTGACTGACTGGTTAAGAGTTTGCTTGCAGTATATAAGTAATGCTTTGTGGGTAATGGGCACGTACCTCAAATGCATTATGGTTATTTGGCCTGAAACAGAAAGCCAAGTGTCTCTGAATTCTCAAAGAGATACAAATACAAAGAAGATTCTCCACTAGAGCAGTATTGTTGGAAAATCTTCTGATAGTTTATTACAGTCTCTTTGATAGTTGCAATGCTGTTCAGTGGTGTAGAGCATCCATAAAGTAGTCTAATGTGGTTTTTAGTGAGGATCAGATTTTGAGGGGACATAAGACTCAGTTCCTAGGAGAGTCAATGGAAGTTGCAGGCGCTTACATCCGAATTGAATTTTTGTTCTGGCAGTGTTGCAAAGGCAAACAGGTAAGATAAATTGAAGCACTTCATTTTATCCTCAATTGTTAGTTACTTTGTGACCGTTAAAAGCAATGCTTTAGAATGGCTGCATAGGGAAGATTTGCATGTAATAACTTGTGAGAGATGAAACCATAAGATTTCTGGGTTGCTTACCTAAGGAGGGAGGTTTCAGAGGGTTCGGCGTAGCCTCAGTCTGCTTTTTCTAAATATGATGGAGTTAACATCAATGGGAGCCATGTTAAGATAAAACAAAGCACATTTAGGTATCCTGCCTTTGACTTAGTGGTGTGTTTCTGTTTTTCTTTTTTAAATGAATGTGACAAATGTTCTTCCATCTTGCATCTCTTTTTAGGACAGAGCCCTATGTCCATTCAGCTACAAGAGACAGCAAGGCCTTTGGCCCCAAGTCACGAACTTTGGGCACACAGACAGATTACAGGGATGGTGAAACCCAGACGGATCCCTATTCCCCTGCATATGTAATTCCCAGTGGCTCAGTCCCTGAACTTCTGACACTTGCTACACTCACTTGGGGTGAGTTGAAAAATCAAGATAAATTATAATAATCACGTCCCATCTTTAGCAGGAGGTTCTTTTTTCTCAGTGCCAGGTTTCAAGTCTATTGGCAGCTTTGGCAGCCCTTCATTGTCTTACTTTGGGGCACTTACCTCTTTCTAAAATAGGCATGATATTTACCTACTTAATAGCACTATCCTGTGGTTGTTTCATAAAGAGTTTTGAGCTTATTAAATGTAAAAAGGTCAAATGTTTTACAAATATGAACTAGTAGCAGTTTTTCCATTTACCTGCTCTTCAGCTATTCTGAGTTAGATGTCAGTAAAAAACCAGTATGAACACTGCTGCCCCAGAATACACCTGTGATCCTCATCTCCCAGTGATGATAGCGATGGACAGTGGACATGCCAAAGAAAGTGCTCATTCTCAGAAAATGTCTTACTGGAAAAGTTTTTCCTCCTTTGCAGCCTGCAGTAGAAGAATGAAGCACTAGTGTTAATGTCAACTAAGCTATAGCAGCTGCAGGTCCTATCATTCCTCATACTGTAGAATTTTACTGGCCTTAGAGGTATTTACTTCTGGCTATTGACAGTTCTGCTTGTGTTTAACATAAGGGCTTGTGCTCATCCAGCCCTCTAATACTTTTTGGTGGTGGTTATTTGCTGGATTCACCATTCTCCTAAAGAGCTACTACTTCTTGTTCCTGTAAGGTCGGGGGCTACCAGCAGGACTAGCTGAGGTGGAAATGATTGAACGTGCCCGGGAAAAACGTGCATGGGAAGCAACTCTTCCAGCCATGGACAACGCCTCACAAATCACAAAGAGGAGGAAAATGATGGAAGAAATGGAGAGGAAGGAGTGGGCCTTTAGAGAACAGGAAATAGAAAAGTAGGAGTCCATTTGTACTCTTTATTTCCTTTCATTAATGACTGAGTAGAGAAGGAACAAGAAGGTTTAGGGGACTGGCTGAAGGGTACAAGCCTTTTATTGCTGCGAAAAATCCCCTGATTTCGGGAAGGGATATTTTTGTTAAATTTAAGAAACCACTACCACAATACTTTTCACCAGTGCTAAAATAACTTTTTTAAAATGAGAGATTAAATATGAGATATGCAATATGAACTATGTGTAAAGTAGTCAGTTGGTATGCGGGATTTGATGATGACAGCATTGCACAGAACACTGCAGAGTACAGTAGGTCATACCTGGCCTTTTCTTTCCTTTCAGGTTGCAGAAGGTTCGATTGGAAGTCTTAAAGAAGCTGCTGCAGAGGCGAGAGGAGAATCAGAAAGAACTGGCTGCCAAGCGCTTGGATGACCACTGGGAAAATCATCAAAAGGCTAAAGAAGAGAAAATAAAAAAGATTCAGCATGACTGCGCACTGAGTAAGTTCAAAAGACAGGGAGAGAGCAGTATGAGACTTAGTTTCCAGACAAGCCATTTCTATTTTCACAAGGCAGCAGTCTTTATTCAAGATTAAACAGGCTGCATCCACAATATAGATATGCAGGCCAGCATTTGTTCTAGTCAAACAGGTCATGTTCTTCTCTTAACTAGCAAAAACTCTTGTGACTTTCCAAAGATACAGCATTTTTAGAACTATCTGTATGAATAACCTTCTTGCATTTGTGTTTCCTTTTCAGTGCTCAGGAAACTGGTAGCTAAGAGGAAGAATGTGATGGGGAAACTGGAGAGACGAAATATCATCCAAGAGTATACTGACTTTGCATCACAAACATACGCTCCTTTGTCTAGAATTGGTTATTTCCCAGACAACCATTCCGAACGCTATGTGGTAAAAAACTTCTATCTTAACACCTTTGCAGGTAAGGTGTTTTGGAAGACTTAGTTTGTACGGGATATTTACTTAAAATATTAACAAAACTAAAATTTCTCTCCCCACCGCTCCATCAGTTACTTGATCACTGTTTGTGTTTCTTAGGACTGTGTGAACTGGACGCATTTCTCCCAGATTCTGTCACCCAGGTCAAGATTAAAGCTCCAAAACCTAAGTACACTATCACTAAGACTGGATTTATTAAAAGATCAGCAAGGCTAGAGGCAGAGCTTGCACAGGTTCACCAGGTATGGAGCTGCATCCAGGAACCTGTCAGTTCTTAGATTTGAACCACCGCTCAGAAATGTAATCAGGAAAACACATGTGTAAGATTTCTCCTGATTTCCTGTGCTAAATTCATATTTTCTGTAAGACAAATTCAAGGACCAAATGGATCACACACTCAGACTGTTGTAGGCGTGACCAGTACTGCTTGGGAACTCAGTGTGTCAGTACTCTCTGTCCCTAACATCTGTGCTTCTGCTCCAACCCTATAGAAAACAAGCTGTAAGATTTCTCCTGATTTCCTGTGCTAAATTCATATTTTCTGTAAGACAAATTCAAGGACCAAATGGATCACACACTCAGACTGTTGTAGGCGTGACCAGTACTGCTTGGGAACTCAGTGTGTCAGTACTCTCTGTCCCTAACATCTGTGCTTCTGCTCCAACCCTATAGAAAACAAGCATAGCTGCTTCTGCTCCAACCCTATAGAAAACAAGCATAGCTGCTTCTGTCTCCCTACAGATCAGGTATTTGGATTGGAACCTATTACATCAGTTAGAAATTCTCTCCTGGCATTTGCTCATTCTCATTTCTCCTTTGCTTTTATAATGCACATGTAGCAAGCCTATGGGTTAAACTGTCAAACTACTAGTAATTAAATAAACCAAATCTGGATGCATATTCTAAAAATTATGTAAGTTTTAAAAAATGTACATCTTAAGTACCTATTGTAAAAACAACTGCAGCAAAGCATGATTAAAATGACCCCACTCATAAAATCTGATCAGAACGGTGGATGCACATCACTGTTGTTCCCTAACAGCAGCATCTGATTTGCAAACATGCTAATAGTGTTTTGCATATCTTAATTTATCACAACTGTTCATGCAGATGAGGTGTCCATATATGCAATTAACCACTGAGGGAAGAAGTGCCTCATTTGCATCTACAATCACAATATTTGTAAATTACATGCACTTTTAAGTACGCTTCTTGTGATTCTTGTTGAGAGTTACCTTTTTTAAAAATCAGGCATATTCTTGGCTGGTTGCTGTATCTCTGAAAAATATTTAATTTGATTTGTAAAGCTTGGCAACTTTCATGTATGCTTTATTTAGTGAAGAAATATTTCATAATTGGAAATTATGTGTATAGCTTTCTTGTTGTAGTGTAATTTAATAACACTCTCAATGTAGACAGTAACTTTCTACTAATTAATTTCAAATTGAAATCTTGTTCTGAAAAATCAATCATATTATTTAAAATTTAAATTCCACTGGATCTTGTAAAAGACGAAAGATTGCCTCTGATTATTATTCAGAAGGAAAATTTTCAAATAAAATCTTGAGCACCACAGGGAGTGTTCAAGAACTAAGGACATTGATTCACTACAATTTTTGAGAAGAAAACACAGCGGTATTGAAGGAGTTTGAATCTGGGTTCTTTCTGCAAAAAATTCAAGTAGTGACTGTGTATAATCTGGATCATAACATAGTTCTCATAGTTCAGCAGAATGTTAGTCCAGGCTTACAGAGCTGAATTCCAATTACAGCAGTTGTATTCTGTTTGTTTAAAATACTCCTCATGGTTTGAAAGGCTATAGTGGAGTGTCTAAACTGTAGTCATTGAGAAGTATGCCCTAATGCTGGCTGCTCACACAATAATGTCTCTTCGAAAGAAAAATTGGTGGCCAAAGGGAGACAGAATGCAGAACAAAAGCAGACAGTTGTGCATATTTTTTTTTCTTAAATCAATGTAGGTCACTTGGTCTACCTTGATTCATACCAACTGAGGGGCTAACATAACTAATACTCATTTCCTCACCACAAAAAGGCAAAATGTATATTCTTTTGAAATCACAAAGCATTTCCTTTGCAGGCAAAGATGATAAATGCAATATGCAAGATTTTACTGCTGCTTTTAGATATACAAAAGTAGACACCAGACCGGTTGGTCCAGACAAGCAGAAAGTGCTGAAGCTGTAAAACACCCCGACTGCCTTATCCATCGTTAGATTTAAATAAACTTTCTGTTCAGAGCAACAAGAAATTACTGCCCTAATTAGCACTTGAGCTCTGTGGTGCTGTTACTGTGGTCACTTCTCCCATCAGAGGCTTTTGCTTCTTAGGTTTGGTGGCTATAGCATGTTCTGGCTTAGGAGGGCCTCTCTTGACACATTCACCTCATAAACTATTGGAGCTGTCAAGCTGAGGGCAGGAAAGGGTACAGATTACTTGAGGTGACAGAATTTAGCTCTTGAGAGGACAGCTGTCTGACCACTGGGCATAAGCAGTCCTAACCATGCCAACAACCCCTGTCACACACAGTATGAAAGAGGTTTATAAGCAGGCAGTTAGGGATCACCATAGAAAGGCACTGTGTTGCTTCGCATTATTTCTATAGCTGAGCAGCTAAACCAGTTTTCTTCTCAAAAGCCTCTTTTTAGTGCTGTCCTAGCCCACTTAAATGTAATTTTTTTTTTTACATAATCCTAGAAATAAAGCAGAACTCTAGAAAACTGAAAGAGCACAGAGACTAGAATGAGTTTCTTTCATTCTCCCTGGATATTCTGTGGAAGGAGGTGGCAAATGGAGGAATTTTAATAAAGGAAGTTTCCAAGGCCTGCTTCTCTGGCCAAACAAGTGGCAAAATGCACTAGTCCTCCTTGTTATGTTCCTCTTGGTTTGCCATATGGAGGGTTTTCCTAAGCTCAAAGCTTGTAAGAAGGGATAAGCAATTATCCAAGGAACTACAAAAAGGATCTGTGTTCTTGAGAATAAGAACAGCTTCTTCCAGACTTGAAACTAAGCCAAAAATAAGTGATTTTTTAGAAACAGACTTTTTGAGGACTGTCCTGAAACCTTTTGCAGGAGTATTATGTACACTAAGTATTCTTTGAACAATTCTCTAAAACAAGAGAGCGTGGCAGAAACAGGAGTGGCCCAGGATTTACAGTAAAAACAACAATCAGCATCTGAAGCCAGATCTGTAAAAGGAGAAGAAAAGCTAGTTCCTAGCCAGCGCAGACGACAGTGCTTTAAGGAATGTAAGTGAGCCATTATATAGACAGCCTCGTGTGAGAATCCAAAGCATTAATGAGATAGCATACATACACATAGCTAATTACTACAGGAAAGAAATGCAACTAGGTAACTGAATTCACCAAGGAACAGAGGAGCTGCTAGAAGAAATCCCAGTGCAGAACAATGCGTGACTTTAGGCTGACCCTGTATGCTCTGGTGACTCAAGAGGGGTGAAGTGTCAGGTAGTTTCGAAGTGCTGGATCAAGATGATATCAGAACAAAGAATCTCTCACCTCAGCATTAAGTGCAGCTCTCATCACGTCTGTTTTCATTTATCCAGTTGCTGGAAGGAGGTGGAGAAGTCTGGGGGGGCCAAGAATGTCTCTGGAGAAAATCTCTGCCAACTTCAAAGCGTAGGAAAACCTGTTCAAGCAGTTATTTCGTCAAGAACAGATCTCCAACACAGTGTTAGTTGGCTCATGCTCAGACAAGCTCTGAAAGCTATTATGTCAGTCTTGATCAGCCAAGATGCAGCAGCCATGCTGCACTGCAAAGTAGGTAGTCAGTCCGTCCTTGGTGATCTCACCTTCTTCATTCGCTGGCAAAAAGGAAGAAAGAGAAACATGACTGTATACTCTGTGCTGTACATGAAAATAAAATATGCCTAGTGTCTTGTGAAAAGGAGAGGATCACAGAGAAGATAAGGGAGGAATCTAAAGAATGATGTATTTGAACGGAGAGTCATTTCTCAAGCCACTATCCTGTCAAGAGTTCTGCTTCTATCAGAAGCTAGCAAAGAAGCTAAAGTGTATGGCCAAAAGCATGGGTGCCATTTGCTGTTCACTGCTTTTGCAAGGAAAATTAGAAAGAGATTAATTGGGTGGTCCTTCACTGTCCAATCCAATGAGATTATACCAGGACTCTGAGCCTACTATCTGAAAAAAGTAATGCAATCTATCTCAGAAAAATTAGTGTGATATGTAGGCAGTAACATTTTAAATATGTTGTACAGAAATTTAGCATTTTTTTTCTTATAAAATAAAGTATTTTACAGCAATTCTTGGGCCCTGGTCTCCCTAGTTTGAAAAAATAGTAACTTGTTAAGTTAGGCAGAACCAGTTAATGCAAAAAACATATTTTCTTTTTCTTTTCTTACATTAAAGTCTTAAAATAACTTAAAACCTCAGATTAGAGAAAGCAAATGGTAAGCATGTTTTACTTAGTACACATAGCAAAGCAGGCAGTCGACTGTGCTGACATGAAAATGTAAAACCACTTCTGGGAACTGCAGTATTTCGCAAATCTACATTAATAAGAAGTCCCTCTTGTCAGAAGTGCTCATAGATTTTTTTTTCTGTCTTTAAAAGTTGTTATTCTGGCTGTATTTTGTTATTCTGGTTAGCAAGAAATGTTTTTGGAGGCTAAGATTTTATTAGAAAAATTCTTATGAATGCAACATTGTACTAATAAACATAGGAGCCATTGTTTTCAAAAGAATCACAATTACAGCAGCTTTTTTCTTTCAATTTCCTCCCCCATCATGCAAAACACCTTATAAATCATAGCAAGCACTGTTATAATCTTCATGCCAGACAGCAAGAGCTCTAAGGTCATCAAATACAAGAAACAGTTCAGGAAATCTCTCACCATTTTTGAGCTATAACAATTTCACGTGGCTTATAAGCAGTTTATAGGCTTTGATTCTTGCATTATTAACATGGTTCATTTCAGAAGTTTTCAATAATAAAGCGTTTTGTCCCCTCCACCTAGAAATATCTCTCATTTTCTGGAGCCATTAATTATCCTGGCCTGAAAGGTCAGATCCAATGTGCAAGAAGATTTTTGTACAATGACCACTGGAGTTTCAAAACGTCATTAATTTTACAATTACATTCTGTGCAAGTGCCATCAATTTCTTCTTACTGGAGAGAGAAATTCAGCATAGGATTTTTTTCTTAAGTTTTTCTTTGGTTTCCCTCCCTAGTGAAATACTGTATTTGAACATTTGAAAGAGAGAGAGCGAGAAAAGAAGAAAGGCACACTCTTCCTTGCTGGAATATGTCTGTTCTTTCAATAATAAAGACTACAGATCCTACCCATACAGTGGTAGGATTATAATTTTGAAGCTTTAAATTTACATGCCATCTTCCCTTTGCTTCGTGAGCCAAGTGTGATGTCCTACAGCAGGCAAGCGTTGCCACGCAATTGGAAATTATTATCTGAATATATTGAAGTAGCTTGTGATGGGAAGCTGGCAGGACTGTGGCTCTCTAAAGAGTTTGGCATTGAGGCCATGGTGGCATTTCCACTCCTAGCCTGCTTTGACTGACAAGGCTTGGTATCTGCCACCAAACAGCTGTAAGCAAGATAAAACCCACTCTTCATGGACTTGTGGATTGTCTTGGTAGAAGGAAGTTCTCAGGCAAGTTAGTTTCCCTTTCCACCTTAGTCCACTTGTACAATTGCTGTGGATGCCACTGGGCTGCTGGGCAGTTGTGATGAGCAGAGAAGGGTTTCAAAACATATTTTGCAAGGAAGGGGGCCTGGGTCATTCAGTTCAACCCTGCACAGTAACCACGAATCATACAAAGACGTTTCACTGAGGCAGGGCCACCGAACAGTGACAATACACTCTTCAGGTGACCCCCTTCATAAAAATCTCCTGACTGCATAACATTTCTAACCCACAGTAACAAGCGTTATACCTATAGTTAAAGGCAAAGAGTTATAACCATTCTCCAGTGATACGTAAACTGTAATTAAATTGGGATATTCCTACTCATTTTTCATGTTTTGAAAGAATCTTACCTCTATTTTATAGGAAATTAATGAATGTTTTGTCATTACATAAAGAAAGTAACACACACAACTGCCTTTGCTTGCATATGGGTCAGTGTTTAATTGGTTCAATGAGATTCCCATTCTAAAATAAAAAAACCCAAACCCCTCATTTATGCTTTTATTTAAGAATATATTATATTAGAGACTAAGTTCATACCAATTTTGGATTAATTTTAGGTGACTCACTCTATGCAATTGCTGATGACTTACTTGTAAATATAGTAAAATAACTCTCACTTCCTTCTTACATATTATTTTGAAGCATCAGTATTTTCTGGCCCCAGCCAATAGCCTCAACTACTGCCCATGTCCAGTTTTTCAGTTGATGTGCAGTAAGAAATGGAAGCTACAAGCCTGCAAAGTGCAAAATACTTCCAGCTCCCTGTAGGTTGTGCGATCAGCAATAGTCAGCATCTAGAGGACTGGTATTATTGTGTTGTTCTATCTAACTTAGTTCTGATTAACTTGTGTGTGTATTCCAGGCACTACTAGAGAAGAAGAGTAAAGCCAAGGAGCCAAAGAAGCCCCTTCGTGTCCTTGAAAAAGTAGAAAAGCTTGTTCCTCGGCCACCCACTCCAATCCTGGAAAAACCATCACTTGTAAGTGGGCTAGT